TGATTATCTACAGTACATTGTTGGTTACTGTGATTACCTACAGTACATTGTTGGTTACTGTGATTATCTACAGTACATTGTTGGTTACTGTGATCTTCTACAGTATACATTGTTGGTTACTGTGAATATCTACAGTCCATTGTTGGTTACTGTGATTATCTACAGTACATTGTTGGTTACTGTGATCTTCTACAGTACATTATTGGTTACTGAGATTTTATACAGTTGGGACGTTACTACTGATATTTGTAGAGTAACTCCAGAGGTACTGTAATTTTTGGTTGGAAACACGGTATTATACTCTAAAATAGTATACAGTAATTTACTGTGCACAAACACTGTAAATAACTGGATTTCACAGCCATTTTTTACAGTGCAGAGACATTCTTTACACATTCAAGAAGCTAGCCTCATATGAAATACCGTGTGTAGGTAATATATGTTGTATGGAGTTCATAGGCAGTCTAAATATGGACTGTTTAAACTCAACCCAAGATCCCTTAGCAAATGTTTCTCCTCCTCAAGTTTATTTACATATCAATCATATTGAGAAACTTAACTTTATTCAAAAGGAAAGGACAGCTTTTTTAAAAACTGTAACACATTGTGTTTTAATATGCTGCTAAAAATAGTCCCCAGCAAATACAATAGAGAGAATAGAAGTCTTAATTAAATGTTCACACTGGCATTAAACAAAACTACTGACTGACTGCTTTACCACTGTTTAGCAGCCTTCCAGCACTGTTTACAGGATGCCGTAAACTTCTTTGAGACATGCACTCCGAACAAGGGGTGCCAGGACTTTTGTTTAGTTTTTGGGAGGAATGCAATGATGTCTGTTTTGTCTCTGGTAGCGTGCCTGTGCTGCCTGCTTTTGAGAAGCCACGCACTATATTGGATTGTGTTCCCAGTTATCACACAGAGACAATGCAGAACCATTCATTAACTTCACTTCCTAGTTGTTAAAGGATTCATAAAAAAGAGAGAAAATTGAGAAAATAAGAGAATTTTTGTATTTAATAATGTGTGTAACTACTAAGAAAATGGTTTAATACCATTTTACGATTTGCCATAGAAGTTGTAAGATAAAGAACAGTTTATCTTTCTTTACCCTATAGCATATATTTCAGAAATATTATCCCGCTGTATTCTAGGAATAGGAATTTATTACCATTAGCACGTAGTAAAAGTGTGTACTTTATCATGCAACAAGAAGGTAAGACTGGCCAGAACATGTGGCGCAGTCTGGACTTTGACATTATTTATCCAAAATCTTTCAAAATTATTCTTATTCCTCTCAATGTAACATACAGTAATACAATTAATATGTTTTGCAGATTCATACCAAGATCACTTTATATCACAGACGGCTAACTTTCAACACAAGATGGTAATTGCAGTGCTTAGGCTATAACTAATTGTTGCTATTGGGTAGGTTATCTATTTCTTTATTTCACATTGATGTTTTATGTGGTGTGCCTTGTGATTTGTGTTGTTTTTCGAGTTTGTTCTGGGACCCCCTTGAAACTAAACAATGCTTCTCAAGCGTTTTATCTTGATGCAATATATTTGCATTTAATAGACTCTATACAGAGTTTTACAGTCTGTGGCACTCAACAGAAACAACAGTATATTTTATTTTGTAAACACTGTAAACTTGATAGCTTTTTAAACCACACCTCCTACTGGTTAAAGCACGTTATTACACGTTTAGAGTAATTGCAATGCAGGAAGATTGTGTTGCTTTTTAATGACTGTTTTAAAATGCCTTTTTCTTAATGTCTTTCATTTTTGTAAAGCACTTTTGAATGTGTTATATTTTATGAAAACATACAAAAAATAGTGGGAAAGTAGAAGGTTAATGATATAAATATAGAATAGAAAATATCAAGAAGATACTGTAAGTGATCTTTACAATAAAACAGTTTAGTGCCTGATAGGAGAATGTGCAAAACAGACAAACTAATAAGGCTTTATTTATACATTAAAGAATACTTTAGTTTAAGGTCTTCTTTTAAATAAGAAAAAAGATCTACAGATAAATAATAAGCCTGACAAAGTATTTAACGTCTAAAATATTGCATGGTTTGTTTTGGAACTTGACAATCAACTTTCCTGCAATGTTAACTATGTTGAAGCACTTATTTTAACCAATATTATACCTATTTATTATACTCTTATAAGATGTATGTAGATAGAATAATAAATGTGCAGAATACGACAGTTTAATGGTGAAAGTATACACACATATTGATAGATGTCTTGTAATGCACTGTTGAGGAACCTGTGACCCAAGTTTTTCATTCATTGCATAACTACACCGTAGTTGTGTATAATATGATATGTCAATAAACCTTAGAAAATCTTGAAATGGATGTGCAAAATAATCATTATATACAGTTTTTAATTAACTATTAGTAGAGAATAACGAGTAATGAATATGCTTTATAGGGATCTGCAGATAAATATTTAGTCTTCTCAAGCACCAACTATCAAATATCTCTCCTGATTATTGGCACTTGACAATCACCTTCACTGAATTTTACTCAGGTGTAACTAAAGTCTGATTTAAGGGTTGTTTATATTTCACATCATTAATCCAAATCTGTAAAGTAACTAAAATAAATGTAGTGGAGTAAAAATACGGTTAACCTTAAAGAAAGCCCTCAGGATTATAAAAGACCGACCCCCATCACCCCAGCCACAAACTGTTCTGTCTGCTGCCGTCCACAGCATCCGGACTAAAAACCACCAGACTCAGGGACAGTTTCATCCCACAGGCAATAAGACTATTAAACACCTGAACTTTGAAACAACATCCATAACATTCATCTGGCTGCTACTTAGAAATGATGTATCTAATATATCATATTCCAATCACTTGTATATTGACTCTTATTGCACTATTTCACTTTTTACTATTGTACTATTTTTCTTTTTGTATTTACCTGCACTATTTTTTCTGTGTAGCCTATCTGTTTTATTGTGTTTCACTGTTGGAGGAGCCTGTGACCTAAGGGGGGGGGGGGTAGGGCACGTCCGATTCCTGTTTTGGATAGTGTGCCGTCGATGGGTTTCATTCCATTTCAAAGTGCTGTTTCGGCATTTTAAAGCAGCCATTAAAAAGCAACACAATCTTCCTGCATTGCAATTACTCTAAACGTGTAATAACGTGCTTCAACCAGTAGGTGGTTTGGGTTAAAAAGCTTACAGTGTTAACAAAATAAAATATACTGTTGTTTCTGGTTTAGTTTACGACGGATATATGTTATTATTGTTTTGATAAAGCGATGGAAAAAACCCACAGCAACACAGAAAAGATGGTCTTAACATGACCCAGCGGTCTAGTAGTTAATAAAAAACAATAATATCAAAACAAATTATTACTAGGCCTACTAACTTTATTGTGAAATTAAAACAGAATGGTAAAATAATAGTTTCAGGTCTATTCTGAGGCCCGATCTCTGTAGATAAATAAAGAACTATGACAGATGTGTAATATGTAATGCAGCCAAACAATTTATTACAATGCATTCATGTGATGACTTTCAAAGAGTAAAGCAAGCACTGCTGAATAAAGTATGATTTTATCTTTTACGAAACGTTTTTTTTCATATGGAATGCAGTTGGAGGTCAACCAATCACAGAGCTTGAGGACTAATCACGGGGTTTGTCGAGCAAAGCGGAATGATAGCTGAGGATTCTGGGTAGTGTAGTGTCTTCGGCCATCCTAAACTCTGAAAAAACATTTGTTTCTCCGAATCGAAGGGGAAAAATACAAAAGCATTGTACACAATTTAAACCAATCAATGTTGTGTATTTAACAAGGATAATCTGGTGTTATTAAGTTGATGAGTAGTGCAGATATCACTGTAAAATCAATCGACAGTAAGGAGAATACTTACTTCCGGGTGTAAAATCCTCCGTTATCTAATGGGAATGGACGCTCACATTGCTCTTTGCGTCCGTTTATGAAGCTGAAGGAGACTCAGCGCTATTGGACTATCAGGGAGTGAGACTGTGTTGCTGTGGTAACGGCGGGATCTTCTTCTGGTTTATTGTTGTTATAAAAAGGACTATTATTACTATTAAACAAAAAGCATTTGAAATACAGTCAGTAGCCATCGTCATTCCAATGTGGGGGGAGTGGTTTTCACCATCATTATCATCATTATATATTTTTTAAATGACTAATATTGGCCTACAATAAAGGGAACATGATCAAATAGGAATATATTTATCTTTTAAATAACGTTAACTAAAGGGAACAATCTATTTGACACAGCTGAAGCTCTGGCCTTCCTTAAAAACTAACTAATTTAATAAAAATCACAGTTGTATTACACACAATGCACTGTTTTTTTAGAACAAAAATTGGTAACTAATGCACCATAATACATTCTGATAAAAAATAAAAATTGTTATGAATACAAATAAAATAAAAGAAGCGTCCTGTGAGTTACTACAAGCTATAAAGTAGATTTTAAAAACGTTTTATAGAATAAAAGCTCACTGCGGGACGTTGTAGAAATGCGTGTGTGCACCACGACAAAGGAGCCTCATTCACTTTACATTGGGGTTGTTTGCGTGGTGCAGACACGTAAATGTAGCAGAGTCTGTGACTCCTCCACTTACTGCGGTGTTAAGGAGTCGTGGTGGAGTCACGTATTCTGGTGAGACCAGGTTGGTGGCACCATATGCCATACATTTGACAAGATCAAACAAACAACAAGTAGGCTACATACTCTCTTGTTTTCCATAACAATTACCAGGACCTGTCAACATTCTGCAATCCGGAAGCTACTAAATATAGATGCTCCACATTCTTCCACCAAGGTTTTCAGTTCCAGGGAAGTGGCGGGTTAGCAGTGGTTTATGATTTCCTCCACACAGTGCTGTCCTTCACTCTGTCTCTCTTAATGCTTCCAGGAATCCTAAACAGAGCTACCAATGACAGCTGGTGAATGTTTCTCATCCTCGTTCTCTCCTTCTTCTCGCAGGTGGTGAAGATGATGATCATTGTTGTTGTGACTTTTGCCCTCTGCTGGCTGCCCTATCACTTCTACTTCATTGTGATGGGTCTTAACAAGCGTCTGAGCAGGTGGAAGTACATCCAGCAGGTTTACCTTTCCGTGCTGTGGCTGGCAATGAGCTCCACCATGTACAACCCCATCATCTACTGCTGCCTCAACAGCAGGTGAGTAACTACCAAACTACTACTGACAGCGCTACTACATCAAACAACCACAGTGGGATTTATTTTTGTTTGTTGATAAAACACATTTTCTTCACTGAGGGTAATACAGTTAAGTTCCTCTTGAGTTATATTAAGTGCTTTATATAATAATAATGCATTACATTTATTTTATTAGAGCGCTTTTACAGGTGCTCAAAGCGCTTTACAAGTACACATTACACATATTAGACATGTAAGAGTCATTACTGCGGACATTACCCACAGGAGCAAATATGTAAGATCAAGGGTATTCTGGTAATCTCATTGGATGGAAAACATAGAATCTCTCTAGTGATTAAAATGCTGTATTAATGAGTTGTTATGACAGTTTAAAAAAGGGGTTTAAGAAATGATATTGCTCTTAAAAATGTAATTTATTTTGTGTCTCAAAGAATAATTGCCTTCTGAAAAAGCTCCAAGCCAGGATCACAAGTACTGTCCCTTTACTGTGGAGTACCCTCACCATAAGTACTGCACTTCCACATCACAGACTTGTATTTCATAACTAGCCAAATATTTAGACACGGGTCACTTACTACCTAAAAAGCTTCACTGGCACCTTAAATAGAATCTCTTGTCAGCTAACCTTTTGTGCAGTATTGTTTTTGAACTATATTATATACAACTGGTTGCTTATTTAATTGTATATATCTCACAATACCCACTTCACACATTTACTCACTTTTCTGCCCTGTGTTTTTCAACCCTTTCCCTCTCCCTCTTTATGTGGCACCAGGTTTCGCGCTGGCTTCAAGCATGCATTTCGTTGGTGCCCTTTCATCAAGGTATCCAGCTACGATGAGTTGGAACTTCGCTCAACGCGGATGCACCCGACCCGCCAGAGCAGCATGTACACGCTGTCCAGAATGGATACCACTGTGGTGGTGGTTTACGACCCTGCCGAGGGCAATGGCGGCGGCTCTGGGAGGAAGCAATCCCTGTCTTCCAAGAAGCGAAGCTACATCACAGCACGCCACACGGAGATCACTGCAAGCAACGGGGGCAGTGTGCCAACGCAAAATGGAGGGGCTCCAAGCGCTCAACCTGAAGAGTTCTCTTGAAGTGTATTCCCACAAACACACAAACGCATGTAAGAAATGTACACACATCATGCTCCACACATTTTACATTCAGACGGTGTAGAGATTTTTGCTTAATTCGCATTGCTTGATTAGACTTAGAAGCATTGTATCAAAGCGGCTCCTTTAACCGCATGGATAAAGAGAGTATTTAATACTGCACCTCGATGGATAATATTGATGTTTAAGCTTCTCTTGAGCATAGATGGATCGTTGAGCGGGTCAGCTTTAAATGAATGTTATAAGCAGTTTTTATTTAACAGTTACACAGCTCAATCAAGTCCCCATAAAGTGTTTTGCTACTTATTCTGCAGTAATTGGTGTCAGCCGATATCAAGGGTGAACCTGAAATATGTTGTATTATATGCTATTAGATTTGTTCCTACATAATGCCAAACAGACTTTGTCTATAATCCTGTTCTATTGCCTAAGCCAACTGGGTTGTGTTTTGATTTGTTTTGTTTGTCAGCAGGACTACTAGTTAAAATGGAGCAGATTTCCATACAAAAGCAGATAACAAGTATAATCTAATGTTTATATCCTGTTTGGAGAGGAGGGTTGATGTGGAAATGGGGCCTGTTTCACCAAATCTCACAAAGGATTAGGCGCATTCACACCGCAGTACTTTTCCCACAAAGGTTCATGAGAACTTAGTTCATGAGAACTCTTTAGTACAGATCGCGTTCACACCGAGTAAATCGCCAGAACGCCGACACCTCCTCATCTCCACCGCTCCCATGTTTTATTTTGTGTTGACATAAGTTAGTCTCTCTGCGTTTGTGCGCTGGGCTAATGCTAATAATGCTAATGCAAGGATAATAAAATGGCGGGTTCACAAAACTTTTTGGGAGTTTCACGGGCCGTGGTTTGCAATCCGCCCAGCCAATCAGAAATGGGAACCTTTTTCTCCCACGAAAGTCCCTGCTCTCTAGCAGGGACGGAAAAGAGGGTGAACAAGGTTCTGATGAACTAATTTGAGTTCCGGCTCTTTTTGGTGTGAACGTGACATTTCGGAACTATATCGGAACTAAAGTGGGAAAAGTACTGCGGTGTGAACACGCCTATTGTCCTTTGCAAATTCCAGATAAATGTGTTTTAGGGGCTTTCAATCCTCATACAGGGCTTGGAATAGGGTGTTTGTTGTGATTAATGAGACGTCTTAAAATCTGCAGGAGAGGAAATAATCTAATTTAGCAAATTGCGGTTTGGTGACAAAGGCCTCTTCTCTCATCACCTCTGCATTAAAGCTAGGGTTGGGAATTAGTTTCAAAAGCATGTTTTGTTCTATCAGTCAAATGTACATCCCGACATCAATCCATCAATCACATGCTCTGACAAAAAAATAAAATGTTTATGAGCAGGCCCATCAAATAATTTGATTAGACCTCTACTTTAACTTTATTGTATCTGGGGGGAAATGTATCTTGCAACCAGGAATACAGAGATATGCACACAGCTTCACAAAACTTGATAAAATAAATGGATTCAAGGATACATGAATACATGCTCTGCACTCATCTACCCAATCTCTCATGAACTCAAACTCCAGAGGTGGTCTTGCAATGCATGTTCATGAATTGTATCTTTAGATGGAGGCATGAAGGGATATTTTTCCAACTTATTTTTGCTGTTTTTTCCCCAAAGTTGCCTACTCTAGCTTTAATTTAACACTGTAATGATCTGTTTCATTGCAACACATTGAGTTAATTCTGCTCTGATTGAAATTAGCATAGTTACACAGTCAGTGCACTGCTGTTTCGTAATGTTCTCTGCACGGTTTAAATGATTGTTAGAGAATCAATCAGTTCTGCTTGGAGCTTCACTGCTAGGACTGTAAAACCATCACGTAATAGAGATAATCTGAAAATATGCCATGGTGATTGTAATTATGTAAGTATGTCAAAGTTTTCATGTAACTACACTCTCAACGTTATGTGATGCAAAGGATGCACTCTGCATTCATGTCCCCCTGAAGCCATAAATGAGCAGAAATTGAGTTGCTGTTACTCCATTAGGCTCTATGTGTGGCTTTGAGTCTGACTCTGAAAGCATTGAAATTGTGCTTGGCTTCCAGTTATGTAACGGTTGTAAATAACATGTTTCTTGTAACTAGCAACAAGCCAGAGGCAAAATCCAGTTTGCAGCATGTCAATAAAAACAGGCTGCTGCTAAATTAGCAGATTGAAAGCGTACCAACCAACTACAGACCGGCGGTTCAATGTCTCTCATATTGACATTTGCAACCGAGGGAATGAGAACATAAAGGAAGCTGCACAGTGAAGTGCAACCTTCATGTGAATGTTCCATAATGTTCTTTGAAATGCCTCCGCACAATGTGTAATGAGAAAGCCTTTTGTTATTGTTGGTGTTGCCTCTTTTTTCAACTCCCTGCTTGTGTGCACATCAATTGTTGAATCTGCACCAAGCAATCACTAGCCTGTGCCATGTTGGGTTTACAATATAAGTGGAACCATACTGTGACAGGTTTATATAAACCATACTGCAGAAGCACACACGTGTTTTTATTATTTGTTTAAGTTTAGTAGTTGCAGTGAAATCTAAATTTGGAGTTGTGTCATTTGTATTATAAAGTTGTTAATAATGTAAAAAAATAGCAAAAGGGTTCCAGACATTGATTTTGGAAAATGAAAGCTTACATCTTCTAGATTGAAAAATACATTTCGAGACACATTATAAATGTCCTTAATTATTCTAACCAACAGTTATGAATGTTAGAAGACATCTTGAAAGTATTTACTCAAGAATGTGAAAAAAACAAGTTGTGCATTTCAGTGCGATGTATTTTTATGCTGTCATCTAATAATTATATTTCAGTTGAAGTTTGAATATTTGTATGTGGTAATCAATATAATGTTTTGGTTCTTTGTATAAATATGTGTCTTTTGTATGAATATACAGTACAATCTGTGCCTATTGATGTGAAGAAGTAAGTAACCATATTGTTTGTGGTGTTGTTAAAGGATCATTTGTTAATTCCGACCTGAGCCTACATTTTTGTTTGTTCGCACCACAAAAACCATTCTGACGTTGTGATAACTTCACTATATTCACTTGTTCAACTTACTTAACTACTACTGTCACTGCTTTTATTATTGTTTGTCCTTTAAACTAATTATTCTTACATTATTATTGCTGGCAAATGAAATATATTTCAGTAATTTGAGACGTCTGAAAGGTGATTCATTGCTCTGCATTGGTGAGTGATGATGTATTTGTTTATTTGTAGCTTCATTGCATCTCTCTTCTTTATAGTAACAATAGTGTTATTAAGTGACATGATTATGAATACATGTAGCTGTTAATAGTCCAATTCAATCAATGAAAGGATTATTTGAAAACTGAGCAAAATAGTTGTGTCTGTTGTCTGAAACAATGCAGTTTACTGTAGTAATCCGCAACTTTTAAATATCTCAATTTCTTATATTTCTCAATTTTGTTCCATGCAGCAACAAATATTCAACCCTTAGGGAGCAACCTGCTTTTATGAAGGACAATGTTTTCTTGCAGTTACCTCTACCACATCTCATAATTACCTGTTCATGTAAGCTTTAAGATTTTGTTATAATGAGATATTTATCCTGTAATGGCAATGTCCTTCCATATCTACCCTTTCCAGATTGTTGAACATTTACATATATTACCTGTAAACAGGAAATTATTATATTGAAAACCCACATCCATACAAAAACTAATCTTCTATTAGCAACACGTGTTGATATGAGAATTAAAGGAGAAAGTAAATTATGAATTTCCACTACAGCCTTTGAGATTCAAAACCCAACAAAATATGTAAGTATGTATAATCTTAAACATAAATCAATATATATATAGACACAGTCGCTGTAAAGCGCAGATTGAACTGCGGCCATTCTGTTATTTTTAGTCCCTTTAACCATAACACAAAAACGTGTGCTCTATTTTAGGAGTGCAGTCACGCCATTGAAATGCAGTGCAATGTCAACATAATTGAGATCAACTCAAATGTTGCGGATTATAACATTAAATTGACTTTATTAAATTATTAATATGTGTTGTTGTCTCTGTCTTGCTTTACAATATGGATTAATAAACTATTCTTACTGCTACACAGAGTAAACAATTGTTCATGCAGAGGGGGTTCGGTTCCAGTCTGTCATGTGTTGCTTGTATCATAAAAGTAGGCAGTCTGTTACGATCTGAAGTTTTACATTTAAACCAAACATGTAAACAGCTTCCGTGACAACCAGTTCATGGCATATGATATGCTAAAGGATATACACGGTTAGGATCAATCCTTTAAAAATACATCAAGACAAAATCGTAACATCTCTTCACTGCACAGTGAGTACCTTTGACTCAATGGGTGGACAAGTGAGGAAAAACATAAACATTTAACAAGAAGCAGTTTAACTATACACAAAGTGGCAAAATGGCAGCTGTATTCCTTATTCTGCTAAACTCCATGGATTCAATGTCTTATTTGACATATTTCTCAAACTTTATTGCAGTATATAGTAGCTGGCCTAATCTAAAAGTTGCTTTGAGAATTGTGGGCTCGTAGCCTCCAGATGTTCTGTCAGCTGACAGATGTGCATGTTACCAGGCAACATACATCTTACAACCACCTTTGAGATTACTTCATCACTTCGACCGTTTAGCTTATCTATGTGTATTTTTTCAATGGTCTGAAGCACAACAAACAAGATTTGTTACAGAAAAAGCTCACCTATAAAAATGATTAAATACAATGATAACAAAAACACAGGTGGCAGCTGGTGGCTAAGATAACTTTTGGTTAGACATCTATTTTTTTCTTGTCATAACGCCACCACAGCTTATTTACCAGAGGTTGTATACAGTAGGCATGCCCGGAAATGTAATGAACCATCAACTGAAGCTGAAGCAGATGGAAAGAGAGAGAAAGAGAGTGAAAGGGAGCATACAACAAAAGATAAATTAAACTAGAATGATTTACCACCAATTAAATTAACAAGGTAACACAGTATTTGTTCATGTCTGAGGGTGTTTTGATTTTAAGGATAATTTGACATGTAGCAGCAGCATGTAGCGGTTCTGGAAATATCACTGCAGTCTAATGGTAATCTGAAACTAATGTTCCTTAAAAAAAAACATTAACTTCTATCATTCATCACATTTAATTTGTTTTGTAAAAGAAAAGAAAAAACATGGGATGTTCAGACCTGATCCTCTCAGATTCTAATTGTAGAATATACGGTACATATATAATGCTGGAATATTCATTCCTGAAGCACATGAAGTTTGCTAAATTATTCATCCCAGCTGTATTCAACTATTATTTTACTCTAGAGTGGTGAGCACTGCTAAATAAGGCAATAGGTATGCAGCAGCGTGTCTCTGCTGTTCAACATTGCTTTTCAGTCTTTTCTCGCAGTTCATCACTCAGGATTTCTTTCTATATTGCATTTGAATTTTTAATTGGTGGATAAAGAACAAGATATAAGAAACCATTTATGATAAGAATAGTGGTGGTCTAATGGATAGTGAGGTGGGCTGCAGATCGGAAGGTTGTGAGTTCAAATCCTGCCAGGAACACCACCACTAGTGTGCCCTTGAGTAAGGCACTTAGCCCTTAGTTACTCCAGGGAGAATGTCCCTGTAATCGGTTTGGATAAAAGCGTCAGCTAAATGAAATGTAATAATTATAATAAAATACGTACTGTACCAGAAAACATTACTCTT